GGGAGTGCAGAGGACGGTGCTGGCCTCTTTTCAGTGGTGGCCACTGATAGGACTAGAGGAAATGGCCGGAAACAGAAGCAAGAAATATTCCATAGGAACTTAAGGAAAAATTTCTTAAGAGTGAGGGTGCCAGAGCACTGAAACAGGCTGCCCAGAGAGGTTGTGGAGTCTCCTTCTCTGGAGATCTTCAAAACCCGCTTGGATGCAGTCCTGTGCCACGTGCTTTAGGTGACCCTGCGTATGCAGGGGGGTTGGACTAGATTATCTCTAGAGGTCCCTTCCAACCCTAAGCATTCTATGATTCTATGATTCTATGAAGATGCTGCGGTTGTGGCGCGTGCGTCAGCCTATGCTTCATAGCAGCCGACTATCCTGTACACGTGAGAGAGGACACGAGTGCCCTGTGCCTGCGGGCGCAGAGGCTCTTCCACCACTGTTGTGGAGCGCAGGGGGTTGGCGAGGTCTGAAGCTGGCTGCAGGGGTGACTGGGCTGCGTGCTCGTGGCCAGGGCCCCCAGAGCAAAGGGCACCCGAGGGAACAGGAACTGAGCCCAGCTCTTGCCAGCCTGGCTACAAGGGCTGCAGACTCTGCTCTCTCCCCAGGTTTCCAGCCCTTGGCTGGGACCCTTTTACAGAGCAGTTCAGGATGCAAAACTTTCGCATGCAGGAGGTGTGGGCGGGTGCTGTTTGCAAGGCTTCCTCGCTTTGGGCATAAAACTCCAGGTTGCGGGTGGCACTTCGGGGAAGGACGTTTACCCTAGGAAGGACTTGGGGATGATGCCGGCCTGCTGCAGCAAACTGGTTGCTGCTGGCAAGGGAGGCATGTGGGGTGCTGGGTGCTGCTGCTGCTGTGTGCAGCTCTGGCCCGGCCTCTTGAGCATTCGTTTCCTGTTTTTTTTTCTCATGTCATCTGGCGGCTGAGCACATTTCCTCTTGTTTTTGAGCTCCCTTGGGGGGTGCGGGTGGCTGGACAGGCCGCGGGCTCAGCATCTGTCCCCCGCTGAGCGTCCCGCCAGGCCCCTGCGCACCCCGGCATGGCAAGCTGGCCCCAGGCACCAGGGTTCTCTCCTGACATCCCCCTCGGCCTTGCCGCGAGGATCAGTCAGCTGTGGTGAGCTTAGCGCAGCTTTCACCAGATTGCAGGGCTGCAGTGACCCCGATTAGCAGGGACCTAATTGTCTTAAAGAAGCTGCTGGATGGTAACCCAATTAAAGCCACTTGTGCTGTGGCCATAGAAACTCACACTGGCCTCCCAGGCAGTGCCAGCACCCTGGGTACCCCATGGCCACACTCAGCCAGGACCCTGAGGCAGCTGCTTTCCGCGCAAATCTTTGCACCATCCAGAGCAAGGTGGCCGAGGGGGCAAGGGGATACCCGTGCTTGGCAGGGTCGCAGGGTGCCTGCTCTGCCCGCCTTCCCCTTGCCTTGCACCTCCCACTTCCTCCCAGGATGAAGGACTTTGTCTTTTTATATATTTTTTTGACTCTAAATGGCCCGGCGCCATGAATTGTTTCCGCTCGCTCTGCGGTTTGTTGCCATAGCGATGAATACTTTCCTCTTTCCATTTCTCCCATCATACGGTGTGCACAAGCGGGACACAAAAGACCTGGCCGGACAAAAGGAGGCCCCACGTCCTGCCCCGAGCCCGGGCTGGCCCCAGCTCGCAGCTCCCTGCCCACGGGCACCGCTTGGTTTCAGCGCCGCGTGCCTAGCGCCCCCCACTGTCTGCGCTGAGCCCTTGTTTGCAGGTGTCCCCCCGCGATACCCAGGGGAGCTGCCACCTGCGCTGTGCCCTGGGCAGCGGCATTCCCCCAGGGTAGTACCCATCTGAGCGCTGCGCTCCAGCCCTCCCGTGTCCCTCTCACTGCACGGACCCCGGAGCTGCAGAGTGACACTGGGACCGCAGGCAGCGTTGGGCCCCTGCAGCCAGCCCAGCTCAGAGGTGCCCTTTTGCTCCCTGATCAGCTACCTGAACGACTTGGAGCGGATAGCACGAGCCGACTACATCCCCACCCAGCAGGATGTGCTGCGCACCAGGGTGAAGACCACAGGCATTGTCGAGACTCACTTCACCTTCAAGGACCTGCATTTCAAGTAAGTCTGACCCTTTCCCAGCTCCTGCTGGGCAAAAACCTCCCCTCCTCTCTCTGCTTCAGTTCCTATTTGCACATGGGAGCTAGCACAGTAGCCCCTGGGCCTCTTGAAACCCAGGACCAATGCTGAGCCCAGGGGCGGGGCAGCACTGGACCCACTGCCTCTGCCTCTTGCGTGGAGGCCGCAGCGTGACGCTCCAGGCCATGTGAAGCCCCTCACTTTTCTGCGATGTCCTCCACTTCGGTGGCCTCCCAAGCTAGGTCAGCACTTGCCTCCCATTGCAGGACCTGTCCAGGCTGCGTGTGATGTTTGCCCAGTAGTCATCAACCGCCTATGCAAGCATGTCTGTGGGCTGGTCGCCCTCGTCCTCCAAAGCAGCTGCTTACAGCCACTGACACCAGTGCTGAGCCTGGCCTTGCTGACCCTTCACACCATCTTTGGCCCACAGGGCAGGAGATGGAGAGGGGGAAAAGCAACTGGGAAATGCTCTGGCCCTGGGGTTAGCCACAGCAATGGCATGGGATAGCCTGGCCAGGGTGCTCAGTGCTATGGATGCTGGGGTTAGGGGTGTGCAATTGCTGAGCACCCTTGGATTTCCTCCTAAGTGCAGGCAGGATGGGTTTGGCCACTGAATGGGAGGCCCAGGTGATGAGGAGCTGCCCACTAATGTTCTTGCCACTCATGGGAGCTACTGCCAGTGCCCTCAGGGATAGGAAGCGGCTGTGACCGGATGATGGAAATCCACCAAAATAGCTGCAGTTCTTTCAAAAAAAAAAAAAAAACCTTTAAGAGCTCTTGTGGCTCAACCACAGGATTCAGTGCATTGCAAACTTGGAGAGGAGAGGCGGGATGGAGCTAGACTGGTGTGGAGTAGGAGCGTTCAGCAAGCAGCCCCAGAAAAATGAGCTGGAGCAGACGGGTGCCACGATGTCACTTCTGCAACGAGAATCCGTTCAGTGTGTGAGGCAGGACGCCACGGGAATGGGCTGGAGTCCTGCTGAGGAGTCTCCCAACAGCAGTGCTCCTTTGCCCGGGCTAGTGTTGCATGGTTGTCACGACCAGTCCCTAGCCGAGCCCAACCACTTGTCTTGAGTTGTGCAGTGGAAACCTGCATACCAAGGTCATTTTACACCGAAAACGTGCAGTAAATAATTGCAGCTCAGGCACGGACGGTTTCTGAGGCAAAAGCCCATCCTGCTTCCAGGTGGGAATTAGTCACACAGCAACCAGGCTGTGGCTGGAAACCACATTGGAGAGGACAATGCCTTGGAGCACACAGCACTGCTACGGGGCTCCTTGGAGCCAGGGCCTCTTCCCCTGCCCCCTGCTGCAGCTTGGGGCTGCTGAGCTCCGGGGCTGGCACTGACGCTGCCTCTGTTCTGCAGGATGTTCGATGTGGGTGGCCAGCGGTCGGAGCGAAAGAAGTGGATCCACTGCTTCGAGGGTGTGACAGCCATTATCTTCTGCGTGGCCCTGAGCGCCTACGACCTGGTGCTAGCTGAAGATGAGGAGATGGTGAGCGGAGGGGGAGGCCACGAGGTTGCTGCAGACACCATGCTGAAGCACCTCTGGGCCACCATGGCTTGTCCACACCTGGATGATGGCCTGACAGAGGAGGGGGACATACTGCTCTCCTCCTTCCCCACGCGCTGATGGCTGGTTCCTACCAGCGCTGCCCAAAGCACCCACTGGACCTTTATGGTTGTCAAGCATTGCGGTTGGAATGGCGGCTCTCTTGCTAGCGCTCATCTTTTTAGGCCACACTTTCCATCTTCCTGTGCTTCGTGGTGCTGCCAGGCTGGCAGTGGAGCAACCTGCTTCACAGGCAAGCTGGCCTGATGGGGCTTCCATTAGCCTAAGGGCGCTGGCCACTCTGGCACTGGTGTCCCTCCCGCTGGGAGTGCAGGTGGGAGGTTTGGGGCTGGTGGCCCATTGGGTCACCTGCCTGGGCGTGTTGGTAGCTCGTGCCACATCTCTGCCCTCTCTCTTGCCAGAACCGCATGCATGAGAGCATGAAGCTCTTTGACAGCATCTGCAACAACAAGTGGTTCACAGACACATCCATCATCCTCTTCCTCAACAAGAAAGACCTCTTTGAGGAGAAAATCGTGCACAGCCCTCTGACCATCTGCTTCCCGGAGTACTCAGGTACTGTGGTGGCCCCTCCTTCGCCAGGCCCAAGCAGCCTAGGAGGGGAAGAGTCACTAGGCCCCCTGTTGGGTCAGGAGCGCAAGTAGCCATGAGGCCTCATTGTCCAAGAAGTCCTTGGGGCAGCAAATCCACCAGCTTCTTGCAGCTCTGGCCTGACAGGATGGCTCCAGAGTAGGAGGAATGCGTCCAGCCCAGTTTGGAACCGGTGTTGGGCCATGGCCAGAGCAGCATTGTGTGAGCAGCAAGGGGTCCGTGGTGGTTTGCGGTGTTCGGAGGTGCTCGGGGTGCCTTACATCAGGCATTGGGGCAGGAGAAGACCCATTTGGATGGGATGGGCTAGAGGGCTTTCTCTGAGGTGTATCATGTGGGAAGGCTGCAGCTGGACCTGCGTCCGCACTCAGAGCAGTGTGTGGATGATAAAGCCAGAGGGAGCCCAGAGGAAAGCAATAAAAATGATAAGAGGCTTAGAAAAAGTGGCTTCAAAGGGCAGATGGAAAGAATGAGACCTGCAGGTTGGAGGCCCCAGGGAACAGCTCGAACACTGGGCTGTTGAGCAAACAGGAACCTGGTCCCAAACCAGAGCTTGCAGGAGCTGTAGGATCAACAGGGACTGAGCAATGCAGGGGCCACCTGTCTCCACATGCCCTGCAACTGCTGTCTGGGCCCCTTGGAGCCAGCCGGCACCCGCTGGTCGCCTGCGCCCACAGCATTTCCTAAGCTGTCTGCAGCCTGCACACTGGCATATTGCAGGCCAGGTTCCTGGCTTTGCCGTGTGACATTGGGTTCACGTGGGCTCCTGGGGGGATTAAAAAGATGGTTCTGAATTAACAAAGGCAATGGATTTGTTAAATGTTATTGAATTGCCTTGGGGCTGCCCATGCAGAGGTGAAGCAGCTTTAATTTGATTATGAAGTTGCTGCTGTGCCAAAGTGCAGCCCCTTTGGCTGGTGCTCCTTGCCTGCTCCAGTTCGGGGTGGCTTGGGGTTAATTTGTGTAGCCCCTTTGTCCCATGCTGCTGGTGGTTCAGCCTGTCCTCCTGTGCAGGGGCCAACAAGTATGACGAGGCTGCCAGCTACATCCAGAGTAAGTTTGAGGACCTGAACAAGCGGAAGGACACAAAGGAGATCTACACACACTTCACTTGCGCCACCGACACCAAGAACGTGCAGTTCGTCTTTGATGCCGTCACCGACGTCATCATCAAAAACAACCTGAAGGACTGCGGGCTCTTCTGAGGGCAAGCAGCGCCGGGCAGCCAGGTGGGAGAAGGGTGCCCGTGGATGCCACAGCCTGGTGGTGCCCTCTGGGAGGGAACATCCCTCATGACCAGGGCCCTGTGTGGTACAGATGCCCCTGACACTGACGGGACCTGCTAGGTCCGGGCAGGAGCCACCTGCTTTCCCCATCCCAGCACTGCTGGCTGCAGGTGCCTGGCCCCAAAACCGTGGCCTGTCATTGCCCCCCATCCCCTGTCCATGTCCCGCTCACAAGCGTCTCTCTCCTAGGGTGACCGGACGTGCCTGTCCCGCCAGGAGAGCCATGACCAGTGAAGGAAGGACCGCATCATGTAACAACTTCTGCTTCTCTTCTTTCATTTTGTCCCCCCCTCCTCCCTTCCCAACCCTGTAAAGAGACTTTGGTTCCGTTCGGGGTGGCAAGTCGTGCTCACTGCCACCTCCTGGCCCAACCTGTGCGGTCCCCTTCCTCCCCCCGCCACCGGCGTCCTCACCGTTGCAAGCCCTGCGGCTGCAGGCTGCACCATCGGGGTCCTCTCTCGCTTCCTCTGTCAGCTCCAGCAGCTTGGGAAAAAATGAGGTTTTCATCTTCAGTTTTAACCGGTTGAGATTGCTCCAAACCAACCCTCCTTTTTTTCTTTCTTTTTTCTTTTTTTTTTTTTTATCCATTTCCAAGAAATCACCCTCTCACTGTTTACCTTCAAACTGTTGCTCTTGTGGGGAGGTAGGGAGCGGAGGGGACACAGAAGTCCCAGCTCTCCTGGCATTGCAGAGACCAGCAAGGAACGCCCCTCCCACCCAGTAAACACATCTGAGAAACATTCCTTTGAGAAAAAAAGAAAAAAACCACACACGTGCGCGCAAAAAAGAAAAAAAAAAAAGAGCTTGGTTTACATTGCTTTTTAAAGAAACCTTTTTAAGAAACTATTTAAAAGCGTCGAGCGCTAACGTTGGTCGCCTGGTCTCCATGCATCCTTCCGCTGCAGTGAGAAAAACCACCACCAAAATCGTGTGCCTTGCAAGGGGCATCCCAGCCGGCGGCCCTCGGCTCCGCTCACACGTGTCTCGAGGGGCTGGAGGCTGAAAGCTGCTGCCCCCCGCACACCAGGACGAGCTTGGAGTGGGGGACATGCGCGTCCTAGGCCTCTTCGCAGCGCAGCCTGGCTCCGGGTCGCCGTGCCGACGCCTCTCTCTTTCTAAGCCTAGTTTTATTTTGTAGGTCTAACTATTGCATTGGTCGAGGAAACCCTGCTGTACAAAGTGGCCCCTGGCTTCCCCCCTCCCCAGACTATTCCCCCTCCGATCTGCCGGCTCTGCCCCGGCTGGAGCGCGGGAGCTCCTCGTGAACCAGTGGCCGTGGCCTCGCTTTTACCACGGGATGTTTTACCAAATTGTTCACATGGTTTGAAATAATAAAATGTAGAAAGGAAAAAAAAAAAAAACAACAAAAAGAGACCAAAAAGCCAACGTGGGGGCTGGCATATGGCTGTTTGCCTCTGCCAGGGGGGTGGATGGGGGGCTGTCGGGTACCGAGGGATGCGGGGGACACCAGGGCACAGGTTAACCTGTGGGTCCCCCAGCACTCATAGGTGGGTGTGTGGGGTTGAAAGCAGTGATGGGAGCTGCGTGGAGAGGGACAGAGAGCCCTGGGGTGGGTGGGATGAGGGTCCACCCAGGAACCTCCTGGCACTGCCATCCTGTGCCCAGCACTCGCCCTGGGTGGCTCCACCACCCTCAGGCTGGCGGGGAGGCTCAGGGGCACCCAAGGACCCTGTAACACCAAGGTTGTCCCCCCTAGGGACAACCTCACCCAGGAACACTCCAACAGTGCCATATATGTGTCACCAAGGACCCAGGGGAACCTTGTGGCACCCAAGGTCACCCAGAGGTACTCAGCTCCTAGCACCCAGTCACCCCGTGCTCCACAGTACGCAGCACCTGGGGCGCCCAGGTATCTCCAGCACCCAGGGGCAGGGTGTGGAACTGAGCCTAGGAGTGACTCTGGGGCCAAGCAGGGCTCCTTGCTGGCATCTGTGGGCAAGTGGAGGCAACTGGGAGCAAGCAGGGAGCCCAAGGGAGGAGGTGGACCTGGGCCAGGGAGGGGAGCGCTGGGGCCGGGGCTCAGAAGAGGCCGCAGTCCTTGAGGTTCTCTTTGATGATGATGTCGGTGACGGCGTCGAAGACGAATTTAACATTCTCAGTATCAGTGGCGCAGGTCATGTGGGAGTAGATCTCCTTGACGTCCCGCCGCATGTTCAGCTCCAGGAACTGCAGCTTGATGTAGTTGCCTGCATCCTCATAGGTGTTGGGGCCTGACAGGACAGTGATAAGTGATAAGTGGGGCCCCGTGCCCCCCCCGCCCTGATCACCCTGTGATCTCACGGTCCCCTCCCACCAGGTCGTACCCCTGTGGAGGCCCTGGTCATTGGGCTGGAATCAAACCGTGCGCTGTTTCCACTGCCATGGACTGCTGAGGACACCTGGTGGGGATCTGCCCAAGGAGTCTGGCACTCCCAAGCTTTCCCCTCCCCTGCCAGCCTCCACCCAGTGGTTGAGCCAGCAAGGCCCTCACCATCATAGTCAGGGAAGCAGATGCTGAGATGGGCCTTCTTGATCTTCTCCAGAAAGACATCCTTCTTGTTGAGGAAGAGAACGATGGAGGTTGTGGCGAAGTAGCGGTGGTTGCAGATGCTGTTGAAGAGGTGCAGGCTCTCATGCATGCGGTTCTGGGAAGAGACACAGCTCTGTGAGCCCCATGGGAGCCCTGGTGCCGGGGTAGGGATGGAGGAGAGTATGCACCCCCCACACTTCCCCAGCACAGCCTCTCTGCCCTGCAACTCCCCCTCACCACTTCATCGTCCTCCACCAGAACCATGTCGTAGGCGCTGAGGGCCGCAATGAAGATGATGCAGGTGACTCCCTCAAAGCAGTGGATCCACTTCTTCCGCTCAGAGCGCTGGCCTCCCACATCGAACATCCTGGACAGGATAGGCAGGCATCAGCAACCCCACCCCTACACTCGGTCACCAGTGGAGGGGTAAACGGAACCCATCCAGCCATGCCAGAGCCCTTTTCCTGCCTACACCAAGCCTCAGTCCCTACCTGAAATTGAGGTCTTTGAAGGAGAACTGGGTCTCAATAATACCCGTGGTTTTGACACGGGAGCGCAGCACGTCCTGCTCCGTGGGGACGTAGCCAGGGGTCACCAGGCGCTCCAAGTCTGACAGGTAGCTGGCCGGGCACACAACACACGTGAGGTAGGACCGGTGGTGTCTACACACCCCCACCCACAGCACCCAGCAGTGTCTGCAGCCCACCTGGCCTGCCCCCGCCTCCCTCCACCCGTTCCCTGCCCCCAAAGGTGCCTACTAGCCAGCTGAGTCATTGAGTTGGTACTCAGAGGCGCGATCGAAGCAGGCTTGGATGCCGGCATCCTTCCAGAGCCGCCCAATGATATCCGACATCTCTTTGGGCATAGTGCCCTCCTCGATGGTGTCTGAGAGGTGTAGCAGTTTGCGCGCATCATCCTGTGAGGGATTAGGTTTCCATGGGGCTGGGGGTGCCAGAAGGTACAGGGAACCCCCCCTGTCCAACATCAAGCAACCCTCACCTGGCGGGCTGAGTCGCCATACTGTATGTTCAGTGTGGACATGGCCCGCACGATAGACAGCATGGACTGGAGTGTGTTGCTGTAGATGATGGCGATGAATTCCAGGCACTCCTCCAGTGAGTAACCATCCTGGTGGATAATTCTGGACGGAAAGGAGGGCATGGGGCTGAGCTGGGCACCACAGGGTGGAGGGGCACCCATAGGGTGGTGGTGCCTGTGGTTACTGGATGCTGGAGCTGGGCATTATACGGCCAGGCTTGACACTGCAGGGCTGAGCTAGGAACTGGGGGATGGGGACACCATGGGTCAAGGATATTCACGGCTGTGAGATGACACTGTGTTGGGTGAAGTACTCCATGACACTGAGATGAGACTGAGTCAGGCACCGTAGGATGAGGGCATTAGTGAGTGTAGCAGTGGGTAGGCTCAAGTGAGGAATGGCCAAACTGCAGCACTGGCCACCCAGACACTGTGCTGGGGTGAGCATATGCCCGTCTGGGAAAGGGTGGCACGATGGGGTGTCCTGAGGGTGCTTTGTGGCTGTCCGGGGAGATATGGGGCATTGTGGGCTCAGGATAAGGGGCACTTACTTCATCTGCTTGACGATGGTGCTCTTCCCTGACTCCCCTGCTCCTGCAGGGACAAAGCACGGATCATGGTGGTGCCCGCTGGACATCCCTGATTGTGCCCAAGACTAGCCCCCTTGGGTCCCACAGCAGCTGGTACAGAGCTTTGGTGTCTGTGGGGTGTGCAAGGCAAATGGTTGGGCTCAATGCCACAGCACTGAAGGGTGGAGAGGATCACCCTACTGGGTGGCTATGGAGGCCAGGCCATGTGCATGGATTGGGTTGGTAGGGCGGATTACGGCCTCATCTGCGCAGGCATTAGGGTTGAGCTGAGCTGCTGCAGCCCATGGGTATGGATAATGGGATAAGCCAGGGACGTGCTCGACAGCCCCAGGAAGGGGATGGGGCCATGGTGGCATTGCTGAGCCCAGCCACCTACAGCCAGGTCCCCCAACCCCACTGCAGCACTTGTGGGACATACCCTGGGTCACCACATGAGGACAGCAATGAGACCTGTGCCTGGGCCATGTTCAAGGCAGCACCAAGCACTCGCGCCCTGCACCTCCAGGACAGAGGAGCAGCTCTGTGGGGCTGAGAGACACCCATAATGTTGGTGGGGAAAGAGAACAGACTCTCGGGTGGGTCAGCAGTTTGGCTGGGTGTGAGCATGGTGAGGTAGACTGGCTGGATCTGGGAGACCCAGGGAGCAAGAGGTGGTTGGAGCTGTTGGGTGCAGTATTATGCTGACAGGATGGGTTGCAGGTGGGATGGCTGGGTCTGGGGGCTCTTGGGAATGTGCCAGGGTATTGGGGTGGGCTTTTGCAGGGGGTTGTTTGGTTTGAGAGTGTCTAGGAGTGGGAAGGGCTTTTGAGAAGGGATGGTTTGGTTAGGAGTGGGCTATCAGGATGATGGCTTTGGGTGGGCTGTTGGGATGGGCTGGTTGGATTTATGGGTGAGTAGTAGTAGAGGAGGGGATGCTAAGATAAGCTCTTGAGAGGGATGGCTGGGTTCTGGGGAGAGCTTACTGTGTTGGATGTTGGGATAGGGTGTTCAGGTGGGTGGCTGATGGTGAACTAGGATTGGGGCAGGGGTGGGTTGGCTGACATGGGATTGCTGGTCTTGGATGTGTCTTGCAGTGGGGGGCTTTGGGGTGGGATGTTGAGGTGGGTTGATTGAGCTTGGGAGTGTCTGGGACTTAGGGGGATGGATTTTGCATTGTCTCTTGAAAAGGGATGGATGGGTTTGGGGGTGCTGGGCGGGCTATTGGCTTTGGGAGATGCCTGGAAGCAGGTAGGTGTTGGAGTCGTGCTGTTTGGCACAAAGGGAGAAGGGAGGAGCTGGTGAGTGGACTGGTGGTTGGGATGTCGGGGCAGGGGGGGCGGGGTGGGGAGCTTCTTCTCAAGCTCCCGGGAGTGCTTCTCCTCGGCACTGGCCCCAGCTCCCATCCTTGGCCTGGCAGCCCGTCGGCTCACCCGCTCCTTGGAGGTCAGCACCAGCCTGGGCAGCGCGTTCCAGCCCCCGGCCGCCTCCAGCGCTTGGGCTCGCTGCACCTGCCCGTGCTGTCGCGGGGCCGCCCTGCCACCGGACTGCCCCGTCAGGGGCGGAGGGGGATTTCACCTGCCCGGGGTGGGTAGGTGCTGCCACCCATCCAATGTGGGCCAAGGACAGGGCCAAGGTCCCAGGCGCCGGGCAGAGGTGCTGCGCTCAGCGCCCCCTGCTTAAGTCTGGCCCCGGATAAACCCCTTGAAATCTCCCGTGGGCTGAGCCCAGCACATCCCCACGGCACCATGTCAGCACTTCAGCCTCCATAAGGGGGGAAGCACGGGGGAAGGGGGGGATTTTTCTGGCTTGTCAGGGAGCTGGTTTGACCTATACAGATGGGGCATCTGCTCCAGCTCAGCAACTATTTGGGGGTCTTTGGCCAGGGGTGTTGAGCTCGGAGCAGGAGGGATGTGGGAAAGGGCAAGACCTGGAAAATATGCACAATGATCACTGTCCCCAAGCCCCTCCCACCTCAGGGCCCCCCCACCACACTCTGTCGCCAGGGTCACCCCGGTACCCTCCACCATGACCCATTGCAACCCTGGTCACACCACCCCACGTTCTCAGTAACCCTTGCACTTACAGTGCCCACGTATCCTCCCCAGTATCGCCCCCCTCCCCAGCCTGCCATGCAATTGCCCCTAGTGTCCCCAAGCATCGTCAAGAACCACCAACCCAAAGTCCGCAGCCACCCCCTTCAGTACCTCCATGTCCCCCAGTGTGTACCAGCACCCTCCCTGTGACTTCAAGCCACCCCAGTACCTCCTGGTTGTCCCTAGACCACTCCCCACCCTGCAAACCTTCCAAGCTCCCCAGCCTCTCCCTGCCCAAGATCCTCCTGCTCCATGTCTCCAGGAGCACTTCAGCACCCTGCAGATACCCTCAGCATCCTCCCAGTGTCGTTAAGCTGCCACCCACCTGTCACCAACCACATGGGCACCAGGGCACCTCCACTGCCTGCAGGAATCTCCACTACCCTCCCCTAGTTTTCATGCCCCCCCATAACTCCTCCAACATCATGGGCCATCCCTCCCTGCTCCATGCGCCCCATGCCGATCCCCGACATTGCCGCCAAATGCGGAGCCTCTATGAAACCCCAGAAGCAACAGCGTCCCCAGGGACGCTCTGCCTAGTGACCCCCAACAGTGCCCCCGCCGTGTCCCTGCCTGCATTGCCGCGAATGGCCACAAGGTGGCGCGTTGACTCCAGTACGTCGCCATGTCCCCAGCGGATTCCAGGGACCGCAGTAGCCCGCAGATGCCGGTGTATCCCAGTACGTCTCACGGCATCCAGCAGTGCCCAGGGCTTCCAGGACATCCCAGGGCCTCCAGGACACCCAGCGCTCCGCGTCCAGCACCCCCAGCACTTCCCAGGATCAGTGTCCCCCCCCCGCCCCGGCTCATTCCCCCAGTACCAACCAGTGTCACCCTCCCAGTGCTCCCAGTACTGCCCAGTGCCACTAATGCAGCCTCCCCATACATACTATTGTCCACAGTAGGGCCCAGTGCAACCTCCTCAGTGTCCCCAGGACCCCAAGTGCCCCCCAGGAGACCCTCTACTGGGGGAGGTGACCCATACTCTGTCTCCATCCCATGCCTGGCAACTTGGTATTGGGGGTGAAGATTTCAGCCCTGCCTCCCGGCACAGCTCAGGGCAAAATGCTGGAGGAGCAGAGTCGAGGGGATTGCGTGAGGTTCCTGAGGGCTTGGCACAGCACAGGGGACGATGGCATCAAGCCCCACCCCCCCACACACTGTCCCCATCCTGTACAGAGCACACACAGGGGCCTGTGGCTGTCCCAAAGCCAGTGTTTATTTCAACACACTCCCGGTCACGTGGGGGTGGCACAGGCCCTGGGCACCCCTACACTTTCCGTGTACAGTTATTTACAATGCAGTGCACCCCCATCCCTGCCTGGGAGCCCCAAGGCAGCAGGCAATGGGGAAGGGACCCATGGAGCCTGCACCTGAGGGCACCCTGCCCAACCCACCAGGTCTAGCATACTGGGGTGGCCTGGGTACAGCCTCTTCTTCCCTACCCAGCCCAGAGTACAGCCTTGACTAAGCCCTTACTGCTGCCCAGGCCCCTGGGTGCAGCCTCCCTGAGCAGCTCTCTGGGGTACAAGGTCTCCTTTGGAGACCAGCCTCACACGGCTGCTGTGCCGCTCTCCAAGCACAGGGGTATTTCAGCAGGGAGGACATCCAAGCTGTGGCCTGGCAGGACACAGCGTGATGCTCATCTGTAGCTCCCCCCTCCATCTCTGAGGCTTGTCTTGCCAGTTTGTAGTTTCCCAGGAGAAAGCACTTGATCTTCAGTGACCAGGTGGAAAAACTGAGGTTGAAAGAGACAGTAGGCATGACCGGGCAGGAAGGCAGACTGTCTCCCACCTCCTTCTCTCCCCTTGTCCCGTGGCTGAGTCAGGCTATTCAGGTTAGAAGGGCACCAGAGCCTCCTCGCAGGAACCACTGCCTCTCCTCCAACATCCCTCTGAGCCGGAGACAATATCCCTGAACCTGGTCTGTGCACTAAACACCCTCAGCTCTGAGTGCAGGGCCCTTCCCTCCAGCGGGTCGGCATGCTGGCCACCCAATCTGGCCCCATGCACCAGTGTCTCACCATGTCCCAAAAGGCTCTTGGGAAGAGCAGAAGGAAATGCTGGCTGGGGTCCTCTGCTCCCTCCTGGGGCAGGAAGGCAATGGCCATGTCATGCCAGTGACTATGTACACCCTACAAATAAATACCATCTTTCA